GTCGGGCAGTGTTTGATCATTATGGGATGAGAAGTTAAGTGTAAGACCATTGAGGGTAATACCTGATGGGCTAATCTTGCATCTGCCCACAGTCCTTAGGCCTTCATAAGGTGGTTGGACCCAAGGACCATTTAGTGTAAATGTTGGGCCCATTAAGAGCCCATACTGATGGACTCAGGGGGTTCACTGTATTCAGCAGTGAATTCGGCCAGGCCTTGTAACATAGCCTAAGGTGAACCCATGTGGCTGATGTGTAAATCAATGCTAGGGTCCCTCGCCAGACCCCTTTTAGTACCCAAGTATGTACCTCCTTGTGAAGTACCCTTGTTCAGCTATGAAACAACCCGATCTACCTTCTTTTCGGCCTCTTGCAAAGCACTAGAACCTGGGAGGGGCTCAGTCGAGAATGGGTTAAGACCTCCTCTGTTGCATACTGAAGTTTCAATCACCTGCTTCTCCCCCTCCTCCTTTTCCTCCCCCACCGTATCCCCTATGAACAAATGATCTAGGTTGAAAGCATCCATGTTCTGTTATTCAAAACGATCTTCATCATAGTCAGAATCTAAACCACAGCTAATCCATCCTTCGTCAGCCTCTTCCTTCTCTTCTGTACTAAGTCTCAAATAGCGCGGGTTCAGGCGATCAGAAACGTGGTGTTTTTGTTCGTCGCCGGCCAGCCGTCGAACCCAGCTCAGAGGATGGAAACCTTCTGCCGTTCTAGCCTCCTGCGCCCCTCCACAGTCGAGAGATCGAGACCTAGACGATGATAGATGATAGTTTTCATCTATCATCGCCCTAGGCCTACCCCGCCCCACGTGATGACTTAAGTTGTCACATGGGCAAGCTAAAAGGCTACCCGTAATGAGAGGCTCACCCGCTGAACCGGCCGGCTCAGACTTCCTTAAGGCCGGTTCAGACAGAGAGGTTTTAAAAGAGCTCGCCCGAGCCTTACCCCTTCTATCCACGTCAGCATAGGACGGGCCACCGGCTTTAAATAACCCACCTTCAAAAAAAATTGAATTAACACCCTTAAAAGGAAAGCTTCAAGGATTGGGGCGCCCCTACGACTATTCCCCTTCCTCCTTAGCCCTGCCACACGCACCAGGCTTACCCGCCATCCCCTGAAGACCACATGTACACACTCTTCTGCTCCTTCAACCTCTGTTCGTCTTCCCCAAAGCGACGCTTCATCTTCTAAGGCTAGCCAGACCTTATACCAGGCATCATCTGAGAGAACTTCGATGGCTCGAGGCAAGTTTTCCAGCAAGATCCCTGCAACCTTAAGCTCACAGGCTTCTTAAGTTAGCCTCCAGCAGATCTCCACCCAACGCTTTGACAATTTTATTTAGGATTTGTTCATTCCAAAGGTTGAAAGGAAGACCAAGAAGTTTGATGAAGAAGCTGCCAACTCTTGGTACGACTTCGTTGCTAGAGTCCAACTCTGAATCTGTATCAAACGTCCCTCTACACTGAATGTGTCGAGATTCAGTTTCTTATCGCCATCATCTAATAGAGCTTTCTTTTCAGTAAAGGGCAATAAAACAACATCTTCTAAGCCCAACCTTTCGGCAACTACTTCTGAGACCTTCGTCCAATCTTCTACCGCCCTATCTGCCAATAGAACCAACCTCTACTCCCAGCTCCCTCCCCCTTCTTCAAAAGCAACTCGCTGAATTTCAGTCGAGCTAGCCACCACAACTTCATTGCTTTTCTTAAAGCAGGGCACCTAAGCACAGGGAGAGGACGGATTACAATCCTTCAAACTCCTACCAGGAATTTCTTCCACTCTCCCTTCGACCTCCAATAGAAAAGCCTAAAGGTTAAAAGCGAAGGAAGCCCACCCTCTCCTCTTTTGGCCTTCCGAAATACACAAAACTTGCCTTTTGTTAATGCCAAAATGTTCTGTAACCATTATAAACCACCCGTTTCCATTCCTCTTTAACACTGATTCGAATTTCTTCCTCTCACAAGTCATCGAGTTTTTCCAACCTTCTTCCCGTAAAGAAATAACAGTTCCATCCACAAAACCTTTCAACCACAAACACGCCTCCTCTGGAAGAAGAATCGCTGCCCTGCTCCCTTCTCTGGTTTTCAGGTGAAACTTCCCCATTGTCCTTCCCAGCTCGAACAGTGTAGAGAAGATGGACCGAATGGCCCATAGGTTGTTTATTCTTTTATTCTTTCTTACTGTTTATGTTCTTGTCTGTAATGGGCCTTACTCTGGGCCCATCCTTTCTATGTTATGTTCTGTGTAAATTCTTGCCCAACTAAGGGCCTCCTTGTAATTATTCAAAGTTTATCTTAATAAAATGGTGTTAGGGTGTTAGAGAGAGAGTAATGTTCGAAACTCTCATTCTCTACACCCTCATTGCCAAACTCTCAAGGTCTGTTTTCTTCAAACAGGAAGTATTTGGCTTCAATTGTTAGCTTCAAACGCCATTTCCCCGCCATCTTGAACTTTCTCTCCTCTCCCATCTCTTTTGATGTTTAACTGAATGGGAACAAATGTTAGCTTCTCAAATCCCAGATATACTTTTCCTCCAAAATTGATAGGTGTCTCAACCTCTTTCACAAAAAGGAGATTCTGCACAAAAAGATAAAAAAGATTATACTTTTCCTAACAATTCCATGAAGTTTCGTTAATAAATTTCATGCTTTAGAAATATTTCTTGATTTCTTTAGATTTTCCAAATATCTTAGAAAAAATAATGAAACATCCTAAAACTTCTGTCTTTCCATGGCAAGATGTTCATTGATATCAAAATTTTGAACCATGGTTATGAATAAGATTGACAGTACTATTTGGGGCTCAAATATGTCTCCCAGGGACTTGAGGATCTTTTGGAGGCTTGGCAAATTAGGGGTCTGAGAAGGGATGGGAGGCTAATGTGGTAAATGATTCCTGCTACAGTTATGTGGGCCATTTGGGAGGAAAAGAAATGCATGTATCTTTGAAAACAAAGCCATGGAGGAGGCCATGATTGCTAAGAAGGTCATATTGATGTTACTGCCTTAGGCGGCCAGGCATTAACCAAAGGAAGACCATACAGCTCTTTTTGTTTTGATTTTCCTTTACTTTAGTAATCTAAGCATGAATGATTTCAACATATTTTTGTAAATCCCCAATGTACAGCCCTGACTTCCTTTTGATTGATACAATCTGAATATGTTGCGGAAAACCCAAGAAAAAAAAAGATTCAAATGGCACCCAAAAATGAGAGAAAACAGAGATAAAGAGAAGCAAGCAAAGAGAACACACAGATTTACATGGTTCAACTTATAGCCTACATCCACAGGCAAAGTAGGAGCAAAAATCCACTATGTAGTCAGCAATGGAAAAAAAATATAGAGTTGTGCTCTCGCAACCTCACTCATAGAAAACCCCAAATCCCAAATACACCCAAAGTCTCACTCTTCTCTCACAAGACAAAGACTAAGTATACAAGAGAGGAAAAAAAACCCAAAATACATAACTCTTCATATTTGGTTCGGACCCATAAGCTGGAATATGGAGCGGCCCAAGCCCTACGCTTCCACCACAAACCACCATGAAATTTTGCCTTTGAGCTTTTCTTAAATTAATTCGGAGCAAATTCATGAAGCGGGTCACCACAAAGAATTCAAGGCACAAACATAACAGAATACTTTACTTGTGCTTAAAAATTAAAAATTAAAAAAAAAAAAAAAAAAAAAAAACTGTATCATTAGTTGCTCTTGTTACTAGCCTCTGGTTGAATGTCTACCAATTTAGAGTGACTAGATCAGATAAAGACATGGTAGAGTAAATGCATTGATAGCAATGCTTTAATAGGCAAAGGCCGGAGGTGAGGCCCTAGAAACTTCAGATATGAGTTATAAGGTGTGAGGTTTAAGCCTCATTGGATCTCTTATTTGTTTTTCCAAGAAAAATCAAATGACTCAAAATGTGACGGAGTATAGAAATATGCACAAAAAAGAATTACACTTTCATATAGTGAGAATATAAAATGAAATAATCACCACAGAAAATTGATCAAAAAAATAACCATCACAAAAAGGACTATAAGAACATTAAAATCTCTAGTGAAACTAATATTGGCCTTTGTTTGGTCTTCTGATGAGAAGACTACTTAAATTGATGTATGCCATACATATTCTTAAATAAGGTCTCTCAAATAATGAGGTATTTCCCTATACCTTCAGGCATGATCCTCAAGGTTGAGTTTCATGGCATTTCCCTTGAGAATTCCCTTGAATGCATAAGCCTTGGTTGCTCTTTAAAAATAGGTTGATAATGTTCCATCCCAGTAGCAATTGGTCTTTTCTGTGATGGGGTTAACATGTATATAAATAATTCTTTTTACTATCAAGCCTTTTCAACAGTCAATGACAAAAGGAGGAAATTGTATGAATACAAACTTGCCTTGGTATCAAGCATGATGGCAATTACATTGCCCTTGGATTGAGCATTGTATTCTTTAACCAGGTCAATGACTTTCTGATGAGATGCATGATCCCCATGAGACATATTTAGCCTAGCAACATTCATACCAGCCTCAGCTAATTTCCATATCATTTCTCGTGTGTTGGTAGAAGGACCAATAGTGCAGACAATCTTTGTCTTGCGTCGAACCGTTGGTTTTAACCACATGCCCACTGATGTGTCTCCAAGTTGTTGAATGCCATGGAGGTGCTGAAATTCCTCCTCTCTCTGATATGCAATGAAAACTTCAACAAGTCAGATAGTGAAAAAAAAAATCACATTTAAAAAATTAGGAGTATATAATGTTTCTACCTTTTTGTCCTTTTTCTGTTTGCTTTTTTCTTTGTGATAATAAATAAAACAGTCCAGAATTTGTTAGTCTGGTGTGATGCAAATTGGTCAAGATGTGGCATTGAAAGTGCCTTATGACTTGGTTAGCATTAGTTTTTTTTTTTTTTTTTTGAAAGGTAAAGTAATAACGTTATTGAATCAGAAAGAACTCAATACAACAAAAGAGCAAGCCACAAGTAGCTGCTGAGATTTCAGGACAAGTTACAGATCCCAAATCAAAGTAGACTTAACTAATACAGGAACATTTAGCTCTTTAAAATCAGGTGTAACAGCCACCCAAGAAATCAGCTTGCTGACCGCCTGCTGTACAATCTCCTCCGTTAGCTTTGTTGCTGAAGATTCTTCTATTCCTTTCAGACCAAACTACCCACACCACTGCCACAGGAATAGTTCTCCAAATCAAACTACCTTTTTTCTTCAAACCTTGGAGATTCCAGCAAAGCAGCAGATCTTTAACTGACTTTGGCATAACCCAATTAAGACCAGCCACTCCAATGAAATGGTACCAGACTTTTGAGGAGATAGGACAATGTAAGCACAGATGGTATGTGGACTCAGACAACAAGGCACACAACCCACACGTCAGAGAAGGGAGCTGAATGCCCCTTCTGTCCAGATTGAGTCTTGAGAGACATTTGTTCAGCACCATAGTCCAAACAAGGAATACAGACTTCGAGGGAGCACAGGACTTCCATACTTGCTGGTAGGGGAACTCAGTAATACCCGTACTACTAAGCTTCAAAGTAAGGGATTTGACTGAGAAGCAGCCATCCTTACTCCAGTACCAACTCCATTCATCTTCACCTGCAATGTCTATCGTGTGCCCCTATAAAATCTGCAGAAGTTGCATCACACCTTCTATTTCCCAATCAAATAACTCTCTTCTGAACTGAGGGTTCCAGATCACTGAGTTGTTAGAAATCACATAAGACTCTGCCACTGATATTTCTTGATTAGCTGTACATTGGAAGAGAAGGGGAAACACCTCAGCTAAAGGTCTGTCCATGCACCAGGGATCTTTCCAGAATTTCAGCCTATTTCCACTTCCTACTTTTAGTCTCACTCCCTCATACATCACAGGAAAAGATTTTAGAATCCCTTTCCAAACCAAACATCCCCATGTTGTTTATGGATCCTGAGATTTCCAATTACCCCAATCCACACCAAATTTGTTGCAATTAAGGTCCTCCACCAAGAAGATCTTTCTGCTGCAAATCTCCAACACCATTTACTCAATAAAGCCGAATTAACCACCTTTAATCTTCTAAGACCTAATCCACCCTCTGCCTTAGGAAGACAAACTTGATCCCAATTCACAAGGTGCATCTTCTTCTCTTCTTCCCACCCTCTCTGCATCTTCTCGAACTTCTTTGCAATTTTGGATGGCATAGGAAACATGGACATGAAGTAGGTAGGGAGGTTGGCAAGGGCACTCTTGATAAGGACCACTCTCCCTCCTATAGACAGATATTTTGCCTTCCAGGATGCCAACTTTTTCCCCACTCTCTCAATTACTGGATCCCATAAAGCAAGAGAATAACATTTGGCACCTAGTGGGAGGCCAAGATACTTACCTGGCAAATAATCCACCTAGCAGGCCATCAGTCTAGCAAAAGAATCCAGGTTAGGAACAAGGCCCACCGGGATTATCTTACTTTTATGAAGATTAACTTTTAGGCCTGAAACAACCTCGAACCAACAAAGAATACCAAGTAGAACTTCCACTTGGTTAGCAATAGTGAATTAGAGTATGAACTAGAAATTGAAGGTAGCAGAATGGAGACGAATTAGTGAGACCTGCAAAGAAGGATGAGGTAGAAAATGCCATGCCAGGTTGCCATAAAACCTCTTGAGATTGAAACAACAACTACGACTGTGAAAAACAAATTTGCAACCAAGAGGCTGAAGTCAATTCAATTATGAAAGAACCCCAGTGGAAGAGGATCGGAAAAGGAAATCACATCTACAGAAAAAAGATGTGTAGAACCAGAAGTGGATAGCAGTGGAGAAAAAGAAAAACATGAACAAGTCTAATGTGGAACACGAGACTTTGCCTCGTGTCATTCAAGCAGAGCCAGTTTGTGGGTCCTTTTTTTATAAAAGTAAAAATTTTATTAAAACAAAAACTGAGTACAACCAACAAAGGTGTTAAAACAACACCCACAAATAATTAACAAAACAACTACAGCTCCGCTATTTAAACTGAGGGTTGAAACCTTTGTTTGGGTGGTTAGGTCAGTTTGTAGGTCTTCAAGACTAAACAAAGGTTTCAACCCTCGGTATAACTAATGTAGTCCATTTTAGATACTGTTTTTAAGTGTGTTGCTCTAGTGTATGCTTTTCCTTCGAGGGGTGATGTTCGCATCCCCCCTCCCAAAGGTTATTAATAATATTTTCTTTTTCAAAAAATATTAAATAAATAAATAAAATTCAAAGTCATCTAGATGTATTGAATACTCATATCTATGTTAGGCTTGTGATTCGCATAAATCTCTTGCTGGTAACAAATATTAACAAATTAATAAAACAGACATCCTAAACCTGAGTAAAAGATATATAGTAGCAATTCATATTCAGACAGATGCAATGTTACAGACTACAGCGAGCTACTAACCTGCACGATATTGAAAGGAAAAGAAGGAAGCAAACAAATATTTCATCGGCGTAACTTGATAAATTTCTATTGTGCTGGAAAATTGACCAATATTTTTTTATCAGTAAAATTGACCAATATTCAGCATTACAATTTCTAACAGTTTGGTAAATATGTGTGGCACAAGTTCATTTCTGGTTAGATTATCAAACAACAAATAACTATGCAATCAATATATAATCAAACAAGTTGGGTTTTGGGATTCTATAACCCGTATGTTACGGGTAGGGTACCTTATTAGGCTAAACCTGACCCTCTCAACCTGCATATTATTGGAAAACATATAAACTTTATGTATTAGGTGTTGAATTTAATAATATTTTCAATTAGATGTAAAGGATAATTGATAGTTTATGTGTTCTTTTACATCTTAATCAAATAATTGAAAATGTTGTTGTTTATTTATGTTATTTTACTTATTTATTACTTTTATATAACAAGAAATAATAGGAAATTAGATGTGGGTTTTAAACTCAATCCACCCCTACCTTGAATACATTGAGGGTTTTGCATTTTCATATGCGGGGAGGGTTTGGATTCTCAAAATCCAACCCGTTGGGCGGGTCCCCGAACCCACTTTGTTGCCATCCATGTTTGGGTTAGGCTTGGGGTTGGGCATATTGAGCTTTGAAACTCAATTTCCAGATAGAATAAGTTGATTATATATATATATATATATATATATAAAATAAGATGATAAAATGTTGGGCAAACTTAAATTGCATTGTATCAGTACCTGTGCCCGTGCACCAATCGGGTCGGGCTTGAATTGGGTACACCCAACTTGCACCACTGGCTCTACTGCCTAAAATTGTTTAACAAAGCCCGTAGTACATAACTGCGTACAGTACTTCTGAATCTTTTGTAACACGACTACTAAAATCTTGCAAACGGGAAGAAAGATAAATTCTTGGCACATAAATGAATTCGAGACAGTTGAACAATAAAGCTAAACACCTCGAGCATATCTGATTAAGCTACAACTATAGAACTACGGTATAGAAAAATCCTTTGAACAAAACACACTTCTGAGTTAAAAGAAAAAATTACAACCTTCGGCGTATCCTCCGGCGACATCGGGAGAACTTCTGACTCGGCTCGAGCAGATCTCCTGGCCATTGCCATAATGCTGCGGAAAGCTATGTTACTCTTGCGTTCTTTTCCAGGAAAAAACTTGGCCCGAAAACTAGAAGTCTTTAGCTTTTCGGCTGGAATCTTTGTGGATCCTTGACTAGGATACGCAAAGGAGCCATGAACGGATCTAGTTGCTACTATTTGCGCCATTGCAGATTAAAGCACCTATGCTCGAGAGAATAGACGGAGGTCACGGAGCGGACCGAGTGGTCTTTTATGCCTTCTGTGCTTCCTTCTATGGTTCTCTTCGAAGAAATCGCCTCCAAGTGATGGCTGAACTTAAGAGAAGAAGCGAAAACTTCGTAAGTATCGAAGGAACATAGATTTCCGTTCGCTGTCTTAATCTTTCCTGTTCAAAACAGGTTTTTCTTACATTAATGCCCTCCTCCATCTTTTACACGTAAGACGACAGTGTGCGTGTAGTTCCATTGACGGGAAGGAATTGAATTGCCTTGGCCCAAAGCCCAATGTTAAGTGTAGTTAGACATGGGTCTAGACTTGGGGCCCAATTTTCCTCCCTTCTCATGCCAAGTGTGGCTTTTCTACATTTTTTTTGAAGTTACTCTGCATTAGGGGATTTTTATTGGAGTCTGATCAGCCCACGTACTTACTACACTTATTGGGCTTAAAACTTATTTATGACAGCAATCCTCCTACTCACACCTGCAGCAATTACATCCATTATTCCAATCAAAAACATATAATGATTTACCTATTTACTATCAAAATCCAAATACATGACAATAATTATTTGAATAAAAACAAATCATTAACTCCAATATAATATCATATATTTCTAATAAACGAGACTTCCATAGACCCTAGTGATAATTCCTAACTCCAAATATAATAAACCCAAAATCCAACTAATAAAACCTACTATAAAATTCTAATTTGAGATTAATCTTTAATAGTTCTCTCTCTCCCTTGTCTTTTTAGATGTATATTCAACATTTAAAAAAAAAAGTTAAGAATGAAAATTTGATGTATATAACTTGTGTGTTCCCCAAAATTCATAATACATGTTTTGAAATAAAATAATATTTTATAAAGAAAAAATAACCACTATGTATTTGGCATAGTTTTTGTTTATTAAATAAACATTTGTAATTGATTTGTTTTCAAAATCGATAAAAATACTTGATAAACCATTTATGGACAATTAAGCACCACTAGGCGCCACATCGACAAAACAGTGAATCGGTGGGTGCCAAACCCAACCAAAGATAAATAGTCTTGCTCTAGGTTAATAATTTGCAGATAGTGATGAGCAATGTCATTTTCCACAGGGACTGAGTGAATTTATTTCCAAGTAGATGGATTAAGGGGGGTTGTAGAGCTAAGGAAAATAAGAAAATAGCAAAAAATATCAGAAAACAAAGATTAAATCGATGGGAGATGGCTTCCAGTTGAAGGGACGAGTTCAACTTTGATTCGTAGCATTGATCATTGATGCAAAGATAGATTCATATGTTTATGAATAAATTGGTTATAGCTATTAACAAGCTCTAACAACCAGCCTCTACTCTTATTATTCGACAACCAAAACAAGCTCTTTAATTGCTTCCCTTATTAATAAGCAGTCCTAAACAAGCTCTTAGGATTTAACCTATTAATAGCATTAAGAGGGGAGAGACCCAATTCTAGTCAATAATCTCACAAGCTTGGACTGTTTAAACCAAATCATACATTTTCCTAACATAGATCAAAAACTTTTTTGCAATCAATTTATGTTAGTTGCCACCATGATCGAATCTACCAATCATATACGAAACTGGAGGTTCAATCGGCCATGGATTGTTTCCATTGAATGAGCAAGGGGCCCTTCTTGCTTAACCAACAAAAATAATCCTCACAGTTAATTCGCAGAAAACATATGAATACCCATAAACAATGAACTGAAATAAAAATCAATTAGATCTCACAATGCATACAGAATCAAGGCTTCCCTAACCCTTCAACCATAAATAAAAACTTACAGACACTTCATGATGAAATCGCAACTTCCAGATGAGAAAGGGGGGCGAACTCTTACTTCTTCCTCCTTGGTTGCTGATTTATCTCTCTGAAGACTGAAGCTCTCTTGGAGGAATTGATGCCTTGGGTGCTGATCCGCCCCCCCTTTATATAGATTTGGGGAGAGGGCTGCTCTCCAACTCCCTTAAGGAGATTATCCTCTGACTGGAAAGTCCTATTCTAATTTGAACTTATCCTACCTAACTCTTATCTCTTATCTTTTTAGGATTACAATTTGAGAATTTAAATCTGATAAAACTCTTTTATTGAGATTACATCCAATTTCTATTCTAATGGGACTCTTGGATCTTGAATTCGAATTAGGCTTCTTTAACAATTCGGGATTGCTTCAAGACTCTTCTACGAAATGGGCTTCAGCTTGTGAAATGGGCCTTGTTGCGAAATTGCTCCGAATTTGGGCTCGAATTCGTCTTCGATGCGGATCGATTATGCCAAAACCCAAAACATAAAAGTTGTGGGCCTTTTCATTATCTTTCTAGTGCTTCTTGATGTCCAAATCGGAGTCCGGAATTGAGAGTTATGCCCATATCACTGATCGGTACCGAAATTGTGCAAAAACATCTGATTATCCTTGTTTTCTTCCAATCGCCTATCTGCTTGCCCTGAATCGAAATACAAGAGTAATGAGTCTAATTAGGTATCAATTAAGTGCAAAATACTAAATATTGATGGATAAAGATATGACAAATTTTATTATCATCATGAATATACGTTCAATCTTTGGGAAAAACGTTAAAATCGAGCTTCCCCCAACAGTTGGTGCGTATATAAATCAAATCAAAACTCATTTTTATGAATATCAATACATACAGATGAATATGATGAGAAAAATGTTGATTTGACGATGACATGGCAGCGTTTTGATAAACGCCTATCACGAAATGCCCATAAAACAAACCCATGACGTGGGCTGATATCAATATATTAAAATTTAAATTCAGAGTCATATCAATTTGACAAAAATGTAGATTCTGACTACTTCCACCCTGGTGATAAGGGATCATGTATATGCCTTTAGTCTAAGATGCCACCATATTCATCCATATTGGTTGGATAAAAAATGAAGTCACATGCTATGGATTATAACGCATACATCAATCCATGCATGAGTTTCACAAACAAATTTAACAACAGTAATAATGACAATAATAATAATAATAATAAATGAAATAACAAGTAAAAAAATGTTATCGATTCATTTACGAGATAACAATGTGCCAAGTAAGCTCTTCAAATAACTATCAGCATGCATAGTCATAAATTTTTATATGCTTGGAACCCAATTTAAACAAACATAAAAAAAATACAGTTTTTTCAAACATATAACCAATAAAGCACCTCGTTGATTTAATTTATATTTCATAAAACAACTTAAATATAAAAAGTCACTCAATGTGGTAAAACAAAATGTAATAATAAAAGATGAACGGTATATCAAAAAGTCTATATACCAATGAATAATTGTTATCACCCATTCCATTATTAATATTTATAAAACCATTATGCATATGCATCTACCTTATTATATACATTCTACCTAAATCTAAGGTAGTTTACTAGTTTAGTTATGAATTGCAATGGGGTAAGTTCAGGGTAGGGATCATACTCACGTCCTTAACATTGATTATAGAATAATTCAAAGTCATTGCCTTTTACCCCTACAATGGATAAAAAATGGCATTCTATCCCTGATCCCCACTGAGAATAGGTTCTTTGTCGAGACCTGATTACATAAAAAAATAACAATTTTTAGAAATTATATTTACTTTAAATAATATTTTTTAGATATTTACTGATATATAAAATAAACAACATAATTTCATATGTGGCATATATTACGCTAAGAGGAGGCCGTAGTGGTTATGACAGATCAACAGATCTTCTAGGATAAGACCTTACCTCCATAGGTTCAGAACACGGGAGCCTTGATGAAGTCGAGGTTCTCTTGAACCTTAGCTCTACAAATAGATATAAAATTGCCTTTATAGTTCCTTTTGGGCATTATGAATAGAATGTTATGCCCTTTTGGTTTAAAAAATGTCGAAGGGCATAACACCTAATGTATTGACCCTAAATGAAGAACACCTCTTAGAAAAAACCAACATTTTCAAAATAGATAAGGTAGAAAAGGCCTCAGACTCTCACTCGGTAAATATACTAAGTGATGAAGAGGGTTGTGAAGAAGAAAATGCATAATCAATTAAAGATTTAGAAGAATCTGTAGCAGAGATAAATAAGATCTCTTATCAAAGCAAGAAGCCTTTATTACCCTACGCATACACCAGTTGATTTATTATTTAAATAACTAGTTAAGCCTCAAATTGGCTATAATTGGAATATCTTTTATGAATGAAATTTATATGAAAAATCTGAATATCAGATTCATGGGATGATACATCACACGACGATGTATGTCAGCGCCAGTAAATTAGCTGGGAATGATGAAAAGGTTATCGCCACAGTAATCATTGAGTCCTTTACAAGACAATTAAATGGCTGGTAGCATAACTACTTTACCAAAACATAAACAGAATTCATCATAAATTTTGTCAAAAGAGACGCTGATGGCAAAAGGGTCTTATCTTAAGCCAGTGACGGGATCTCCTCTTCACATGCACATCCACCATGCATTGGGAACATCTCCCATGAATATTCATTAATAAATATGGGAGATGTTCTCAATGCATGGCAAGTGGTGCCTGTGAGGCACCAGGTGTGAGGAGCAGATCCGGTCTCCTTAAGCCAAGCTAACCTATTCAAGATGCCGTCACAACACTGATTCTCAACATTCTTAGTCATTTTATAGGCAAATCAGAAATATGAATGAAATGTTAACTGAACAATTAATAAATCTATGAAAATTGGTATCTGAGCTATTGATCCCTATGGAATATTTAGAATTATGTATAACAGAAAAACTCTCTAAAGCATGGAATACTGCTTATGGGAAAATAATAGAATCAGTTCATCTACCTTTAGAAGCAATCAAGGTAGGGAAAGATAAGCTACTTGCAAGACAAATAAAAAAACTCAGCAATAATAAAATAATCCGAAAAAGTCATTCCTGGACACTGCTCTTAAATTATAGAACAAAATAATTATACAAATATATACCTTAATGTTCTAAGCAGACAAACTAATAGAATAGAAAACCTATTAAGTTCTTTAGAAGTTTATAGAACCATGAGCAAAAGGGAAAAATCCATGGCTGTAATGTCAAGCACCATAAGGAAGATGGATTAGATACCCAATTCCCAATCAAAATTATTTCTGTTACGTTGCTTTTCTAAGATATGTTCTTCGTCTAGGGTCAATACATTAATTTTCCCTGAATTTTCTTCTCCTGTACTTGTCTCATTTTTGCAAATACATACTCCATTCGTGCAACACGACTCTCTTTCTGATTGTTCTTCATCATCTGATTATCTTAATTCATTTATCTTTTTGTAATTTTGAAACACTTATTAGCATAATGTCCCTTTTTCCACACTTAAAACAAGTGGGGCTTTTGTTTTCATTTATTTTAGAAAAGTTTGATTTCCTATTTCTTTTTTCCTCTTTCTTTTTGTAAAATTTCGATTTCCTTTTTCTGTGAACCAGTTTCGAACGAGATGGCTCAGGAGCCATTCCAAATTGGTAACAAAAATCTCATAACTCTCTCTTAGAATTAGCCTTTTCTTTCTTAATTTGCTTATTTAGACGTAGATCATTATACAATTCTAATCCAACTTGTTTGATTATTTGGACTAGGTACCCGTATGTATAATGCAGGTATAGCATTCTACCACCTCCTGTATTTATGAGGTGAGTTCTTACCTTTTCCACAAATACTAGATGAAGACTAGAGATAAACTGTTATTTCCAGTAATTATGCCTAGAGTCGGGGAGTTTGTGTACTTTAGATAGAAAGACGTCTTTATACCATCTAAAATCAAATAGTGTTTTACATGTTAAATTTATTAATTGTTCACTTAACATTTCATTCATATTCTTTATTCGCCTATAAAATGACTAAGAATGCTGAGAAATAGTGTTGTGACTATATCCTTAATAGGTTGGTCTTGGCTTAAGACCCTTTCACCATCAGCGTCTCTTTTGACATAACATATGATGAATTCTTTTTCTATTTTGGTCAAGTAGTTATGTCACTGGCCCTTTAATTGTCCTATAAAGGACTCAGTGATTACCATGGTGATAACCTTTTCATCATTCCCAACTAATTTATTAGCGCTAGCATACATCATCATGTGACGTATCATCTCATGAATCTAATATTCAGATTTTCCATTTAAATTTCATTCATAAAAGGTTTCCCAAAATTGGTATTAGAGCCATTGATCCCTATCTAACATTTCTTATCCTGTACCTACCTTATTAGGATTTCCTCTTAACTATATACTTCCTATAACCTTTGGCTATAACCCAAAGACTATAGTTTATTCGGATATATCACTTGGCTATAACCCAAGTTGGATAGCCTAGACACCTACCAGTTTCACCAAGTCTAGAACCCTTGAACCAAGGTTGAAGTTGTGTTTAGGCCATGAAGAGTTGAAGGCTGCTGTAGTCGATTAAGAATTAATTGGTGAAGTGAAAGGATAAGATGAATAAACTATTTAGGATAGCCTCTAGTGTAAAAAAAAAAAACCCTAATGAGAGTGGTACTAGTTCGTCCCTAACAAAGTCTATGTCGATAAAAAAATATAGAAGAAATAAACTATAATATTAATATAAAAAAATCTTTATAAAATTGGACCATACCCAAGGTTGCACCCTCGAAAGTCTATAAGAGAGGAATGTTTAGCTTAAAAATAGATCTTAATGTAATAACTATAGAAAGAACTATAGCTATAGGAAATGAATCATAAACATTTCCCCTTATAGATAGACAAGTAATAGAAAACTATAAAAATAAGCCAGATTGTCATTTTATACACTTTGGTTTAATCCAGGTAGCCATAAAACCATCAACAAGATTAGGTCTCCAAACAGCAAATTTAGCCTGTTTGACAAACTCAAGACATAATAAATTAAGTGATTCCTTATTAAGAGTCATAGAAGGAAGTTTTCACCAAGGTCCTTTCTATTTCAATGCCTTCCCTAATTTTTTAGTGTTACTAATAGACCCAATGATACATGAGTCTTTAATCCTTAGGCTGTAGGCCCAGGATTTTGACATGAAACCAGGATCGGAAAACGTAGCGTTAGTCTACAGGATATACTTTAAGACCATGAATACTATTTGCCATAATGCAAGGATCACAAAAACAAGGGGAATGACTACCTTATTTCAGAGCAATGCTATGGATAATGTTACTATTCCTAGGCAAATCACATGGAATGATGTGAAATTGCCGGAGAGTTGGTCAATAGCTAGAATTGAACCTCCTAGATCCATGGAGTCCATTGAATTAGTTTATATATTTAGTGAACATGATGAATTTGTAGAGTTAAGGTTCAGGAGAACCTCGACTTCATAAAGGCTCTCGTATTCTAAACCTATGGAGGTAAGGTATTTTTATCCCATAAGATCTATTGATTTGTCAAAACCATTACAGCCTCCTCCTTGCGTAATATATGCCACATATGAAACATTGATAGTAGACACTCCACATTCAGATTATCATACAGCTCCAAAATGTAATCCGCTAGTAAAATCATCTTATGAGCCCATAGAGGCAGATTTCGAAATGAATACTCTATAAATTTGTAGAAGAATTTCAAAAAAAAAACAAAGATCTAATAAGATTATATTTTAATTATCAACCAATAAAGAGAAAAATGGTTTTTTAAAAATTTTTCGAAAAAAAATAGAGATTGTATTAGAGAAGAGTGGTACAAGGATATGCATAAAGTAAAGGAAAATATTCCTTTTTAGGAATATTCTCAGGACCCATAGAGCCATGAGACCCCCTATGGAAGATTTAAAATTATGTGTAATAGAAAAAAACTTTATAGAGCATGGAATACGGCTTATGAGAAAATAATAGAATCAATTCATCAATCATTAGAAACAATCAATATAGGGAAAGATGAGCTAATTACAAGTCCAATAAAAAGCTCAACGATAATAAAAGAATCCGAAAAGGTCATTCCCGAAGACTACTCTCAAATTATAGAACAAAATAATTATACAAATATATGCCTTAATGTTCTAGGCAAACAAATTAATAGAATATAAACCCTATTAAGTTATTTAGAGGTTTTTCGAACCATGAACAAAAGGGAAAAGCCTATGGCAGTAATGTCAAGCTTCCCAACTGATATGAAGATACAAAAGACTCATTTAGATTTATCAAAGGTAAGCAATAAGGAGCTATCTACAAAGTTAATATCCTCTTCAAAATGGGAAAAAGGAGATACATCTAGACCTTCTAATGCTAAGAAGGGCACAGACTCTTGGTTAACAACCAAATTAATTTCTCCCTTAAAATGGGAGAAAATGCCAACATTCTCAAAATAGATAAGGTGGAAAAGGCTTCAAACTCTCACTTGGTAAATTTACTAAGTGAATTAGAGGGCTGTGAAGAAGAAAATGCAGAATCGATTAAAGATTTAGAAGAATCTTTAGCAGAGATAAATAAGATATCTTATCAAACACTGTTTTCAAAACCAAATCGGATCGGATGGTCGGACCAAAAAAACCGGGAACCGGTTACTTGACCGGTTCCGTTGTCCTCCAAAACCACTTTTCCCCCAAAACCGTTGATTTTGGTCCACAAACTGTTGAACCGGCCGGTTAATTTATTTTATATTTCATAAAACAACTAAAATATAAAAAGTCATTCAATATGGTGAAACCAAATGTAATAATAAAAGATGAACGGTATATCCGAAAGTCTATATACGAATAATTGTTATCACCCATTCCACTATTAATATTGCTAAAACCATTATGCATATGCATCTACCTTGTTATATCAATTCTACCTAAATCTAAGGTAGTTTACTAGTTTAGTTATGAATTACAATGGGATAAGTTCAGGGTAGGGATCATACTCCCGCCCCAAACACTAATTCTAGAATAATTCAAAGTCACTGCCTTTGACCCCTATAAGGGATAAAAATGGCATTCTATCCCTGATCCCCACTATGAATAAGTTTCTTGTCAGGCCTGATTACATAAAAAAATAACAATTTTTAGAAATTATATTTACTAGAAATAATATTTTTTAAAATATTTATTGATATATAAAATAAACAATATATATATATATATATATGTGTGTGTGTGTGGTCGTAATTGCCTATGTTTGTCAACAACTTTATTTCACTGATAAAGATCAAAATTAAGGTTTCATTTGTTTGCATAGTTAACTCCTAAACTGATGTTATATTGCAACCCGTTCATGTTTTGCAGGTGTTTAATAGCGGTGTTAATAATGCCATTAATTGATGTAAAATTCCTTCATCCAAAATTTTATCTCTACAAATTGGTGTGATGTTAATACTTATTTTGTCTATTTAACACTTGTACCCTGGTTTATTTCCCTTTCTTTTTTTTGGTGAAACACATTACCCCGATAATTCAGTTTGTTTAAAACCGGATCATGGGCATAAAAGAAGTGAAATCTGCTTCACAGAAGGCGTCTCACACCAACTTCACTGACACATCCCACCAGGTATCGGAAACATCTCGTATACTTATGAATTATTATTAATGTGAGATATTCACAATGTACGGTAGTATATGCCTGTGACGCCGGTTTGAGTAATAGATCTGGTTTTTGTATAAAAATGTATTTACACGGCAAATATGGTCGATTGGTTTCACCATGGCATAAAAATGTATTTACACCGCAAATATGGTCGACTGGTTTTAACCATGGTGGAATCTGTTACATATCAAGACTGAGGGATAACTACAGCCACCGTTGACTCTTCTACTAATTGAAAAGTTTATCATTCCTTATTTTCAAATAAGCCATCGACTATCAATATTTCCCATGCAAAATCGTAATGGAAAATCTCTGGTTTGAAAATTATCCATATTTATAATTTGCCCTAAAAGATTTGTCTGTTAATGTAAGAGAGTAGAAGGTAGGAAAATGTACATTTTTCCAAGACAAGAGTGTAGGTTTTTATGATTATCAGAAAATTTAGAAAGGTTTTTATATTTTACCATTTTTTTTTCAAACCATCGGCGGCTAGTCCATGAGTCAATGTCCAATTGTCCATCCCCCTCCCCTGGCGGCAGTGGGATTTGATCCCACGTCTCTACTCCAACGAGTCAGGGATCTCACCAGCTAAGCTATCATCAGTGGGCACATCGGCACCGGCGTAGTTACTCGTTAGCGCGGGAAAACTTGCAAGTCATTTGGCGCCATACGCCACCGTATAAATAACATATTACTACGGAAAAAACCAGTAATGGCCGAGTCCGGATCTCACTCTTTCCGTTCATAATCTTCCATACACTTGAGCTTTCCTGTTACCGTCGCCACCATCTGTTACAATTTACAACCTCTCATTCTCATTCAGTTAGATTGAATCGAGCTCCCGAATCATGGACATGGAAGGGCTATCTATCATTTGTGCTGGTCTTGGGTTTGTCGAGGAGGATGAAAATGGCTCCCGAATTGGTTACACAAAGGGCGAATATTGCTTAGGTTTGTTCCGAATGCTTTATTGCTTGATGATTCCGCAGACTTTTAAAATTCACTTTATTGTTTCAACCTTTTCCTTTTTTTTGCTGCAGATAACTTGAAGGATCTGCAGAGATTTCTGAGACGCGATGATCCACAAACACGAGATGTATTCAAACAAGTCTGCAAATGGAACACAGTGTCTAAGGATCTAATACCAATAATCGAACATTGCCAAGACGACCGAAGCTTGGTGATAAATGCAGGTGAGTTACTCGTTATTTATTACTGTTCTTCTTCTTCTCCATCCGTATTATGTTAACCCAAAGATCTGTGGCATTCTTTCTGAACAATTTCATTTATACTGGTGTAGTGAAGGTTTTGATATTTCTCACTATGCCTATTGAGCCCACGTCTAGCGATATCTCCCAACAGATGGAGTATCTGTGGGATTTAAAGGCTTCAATTACTCGCAATGACACAATTGCTGTGGTTATTTCCCTTCTAGAAGACCCGCTGGAAAATCTGGAACGGTATGCTAGAATTTGCCCGTTCTCTCTCTCTCTCTCTCTCTCTCTACCACATATACTCTTTTTTTTTGATACTTAAGATTTCGACGCAACCTTATTGAGAACTGAATATATGGAACACTTAAGTTTTAGCTTTCATTTGCCATTACTGAGAAATGTTTTCCTCAGTTATCCATGTCCTAACTATATACATAATTTCCTGTTACCCGCGGAGGAATGATGGGGATTGAGCTTATGTTCTCACTGAACAGATGCGTACCATCTCTTTACCCTGCCGTTTACATCTTGATGTCAATAGCAAACTTTCTGCTAGGGCATAGGTTCTTGCCTTTTTATAGTTGCAAGTCCCTTGCCGTTTCACGTTGATGCACTGACCAGACTTTGATCTACCGTATTTCGCTAACTATTTGCTTTTTCTGTATTCCACAAAATATTTTATCGCAGCTTCTTACAGAAACAACCAAATAATATGGCCATTTAGAACCTTGGCAGAATGTAAGTGTTAGCAAGGATTTGGCAACATAGGAACATTGTTGGCATTGTCTGTCCGTGCTACTGTAAATTGAAAGCAAATCAAGTGGGAAGCTGTGGTGCTTCTTTATCAAAGGGTCATCAAGAAAACATTCAGTCATTTTTGTGTAAATCGTATACTTTAAAACTTTATGGAGCTAACTAAATTATAAGAGTCTTGACTACCTTTTTTCAGTGTAGCATGCAAATGTAATTGGTCATTTTTACACCTTGCTAGGATCTTATCTAGCATGATTATATTCTAAGGACTTAGAATTATGTTTATTTTATAAGCATTCCTATTTAAGCACATAATTAAACCTGTTCAAAAACCTAATAAAATCTGAACAATTGTGCTCTACTACACCATTCACTTTAGCATTGACCAGCTTCACCACAAGGTGTTTGTTGGTCCCGAGAACAATACCTTGTTGCCAGTAGTCAACTACTTCATGAAGAAATTTCATAGTAGTCGACTACTACATGAAGAGATTTCCTAGTAGTTGACTACTACCTCAACAAAACTCGGAATAGAAGCAAGAACAAGCTAGAAATAACAGAAAATATCAAGGCAACCAAGCAAAGGCAAATAAAACAAGCACTACCAAGAACACAAAGCATTTATGTGGTTTGGCCTTACCACCTATTCTTCACTATGAAAGAAACAAGAAACAGTACAGGTACCTCGTGGCTTGCAACCCAAACCAACCCTTAACCCTTGTACACCCGTCATCCCTTTCCTCTCTCAACCCGAAGAACAAAAACAAGAGAAAAACCTGACTCTTACACTAAGAGCACTCTCTTTCTCCCCCTCTCTCTCTCTTTCTAAACCCTACATACAAGTGAAACCTTTTATATGTAAAACCCTCTTTAACCTAAAGAGGAATCACACCAACTATTATATTAAAAATAATCCAGCGGTTGAAAAATAAGACACTACCTCAACAATTTTTTGGTTCTACAATTTTGTGTCATAAGTGCATTTAAATTTATCAGATTCAGAGAAGACACAGTGTTGTCTATCTGTTATTTAGTTATAGCTTCCTCTACAATTTTATATTCAAATCCATTTTTATTTATTTTCCTTGTAGGATTTATTTACTAACTTGAATAACACTCTTAATTGACTAGATTGTTTATTTTGTTCTACACACTGACTATTTTTTTGCCCCTTTCTTTTGTTTTCATTTTATTTGCTATTATTATTCCTTTGATTCTTCTTATCCTATCCTACTTCAACCAGTGGAGCATTCACAGAGGATGATTGGAAGTTGGTCCAGTTGGTGCTTACTTTGTTTCGGAATGTCCTGGCTGTCCAAGAAATTACATTGCAGCAGAAAGCTGTGGGATCTGCCACTCAATATATTTCCTTGAGAGACAAATTTCTGGAGTTATTGTTTAATGAGAACGTAATGGATCTCATCATGGTTCTGACACAGCATGTTGGTGGTTCTTGTTACTATCTCCGCCAAGATAACTTACTTCTGTTAGAGATATTCTATTACATATTTATGGGCCAAGAGCCTGAGTTGATTGCCAAAGCTTCTCAAAAGGGTTCTGAGGTTAGCTTCTTTGATCTTTCTTCTTGATATCTTTCTGGAAATGATAATGGATTTGATATGGAGAAACATAGTGTAGTAAACAAGAACAGACAAAGAAAAAGATAATGGAATCATGATTTTCCAAGTAAAAGCTTCCATGGATAGGCTCTGAAATTCTAATATCCAAATACTGACACAACTTTAGCACGTTGAATTGGGTATAAACACATATCTGTCAAACAAGCCGGAAATTGGAATATATGGAGGTAACAGTTTACTCTGTCAGAAAATAGTTCCCCCTCTCCTGTTTGGTTTCAGAATATTGAGCATGCAATTTCTGTTATTTGCTTCTCAGGCAAAAGTCTCTAATCTTTTTTTTTCACTGACAGGAAAATTCATTCCTTTTGTTGTTGAATGTGCTTTCTTATGCCATTTGCTCATTGTCTGTTAGGAAACCACATGAAATGAAATGATTTTTGTTGTACTTTTATTTGCATCGAAGTGTCTGTAATTCCTTCACCAACAACCAGTCAGTGTTGAAGCTTTAATAAAAATAGAGATGAGGTCATTTTAGGATTTCAAGAACTTAACTCATTTTCCACCTTTTGTTAACACTTGTACCATGGGCATTGCAAACACTCTTTCAACACATTTTTTTTTTTTATGTTAGAAAAACATTTTTCATGTAACTCTAATTCAAATATGTTCTTACCATGTAGGTGGAGGGAAATGTTAAAGAATCTCTTGATTCTCTAAGGTCTATCATGGAGGAGGAAGAAGCAAAAAGGCGGCTCACTAGACAACTGAATTTGGATCGACATTCACAATTTAGTGGAACTTTTACTCGGTTTTCCATGGTATGAAGATTCACTATAGATAATGCCTATGGCAGTGTTATCTTAAACTTATTTTGACTGCAGCAAATTACTTGCTACAGGATGGCTCTAAAACATTATTCAAAGGGAATCCTGGTTCAGCATCCTGTGATAGCCTGTTGAAATCTCATAAATCACAACGGGGTCCTCTAAAGAGAATTGTATGGGACCATGGAAAATTTTCTTCACCAAAGGATAAAATTTTGGAATTGCTCCATAACCTTCTAAACCAGCTACTGTCAGGTGGTTACAATGGTATGTCTGTTATGTGGTGGAAGATGTTTTTGTATAATCTTTGCCTTTTCCCCCTACATTGTCGATGCATATTTTCATTGCTGAACTTTTACTTTTTCAGTTTTAATGCAGTCAATTCGTGAGGATATTGAGAAAGAACATCATGCAATACAAAACAGCGATGTTGCTATTTTCTTCCAGGTTGCTCAATTTGTTACAGCTTTTCAACATCACAAGTCCTTAATTTGGAAGGTGAGAAGTGACTCCAAGGGTTTTGTGTTTCACTAACTTGTATCAATGGAAAAAATACATATATAGCCATATAAGTTATTATAAGATGATCTGTAAGAAAAATGCTCTCATTGAGGCTTGACAATGTCGCACAAACTCAAATGGTTTGGCTCTTAAGGTCATGGCAGGTATACCAAGTTAGATTTCCAGTAATAGGACTTTGGATTGGTAGACATGGTTCAGGTGGTAATAGAGGCTAGTGTACTGGTGTAATGTTTAATAGCTGACTGGTTAGGGTTTTATAGTAGCTTTATGTTAGAGGCTTGTGAAGCTAGTAAGCTAAGTTACACATGTTCACTATGGAATGGGGTTTCTGAATGCTTTATTGCAAGTAGAAGAAGAACTAGGACCCATAGTGATGTATGATGGGAAGGGAAAAAGTCTTAATGGAATGAATGTGGTTGGATGATGAGAGACATTAAGGATCTGAATTATGAGACAAAAAGATTCAGATTTAAATAGATAGGAGAAAGATAAGAAAGATTGTACCTTTAGAAAAAAGAGAGAAAAGTTAAGGAGGACCACACTAGTACCCATTCAAAAGAAATTTTTATTTTTTTAAACCAAATTGAAAATTTCAATTACAATGACTGTATAAAGTAAACACAAGGACTTGGACAAAAACTAACTGAATAAATTTTAATTGCTTCAAGACCAAGACAAACCCATTTGAACACTCAAATAAATATGCCGGCTTCTAAAATAATTATAAAGATACTTTATTAATGCTACTATAACCAGGAAAACCAAAAATAAATTCTAAGAGTGGCCCAAAGAATAGAAGACTCAAATCCTCTCATAGACCAACACCCTATTAGTAAAACGACCATAATTTAAAACAAATCCGATTTACAAGATCTTGGTTTTGTTGGATAGATAACTTAATTATCTGTCTAATGGCACCAATGATCATCTATATTGGCCCTTGAAATTAGGTTAAGAGAAAAATGACATGATTGCATCTTCAGTTCTCTAAAATTATAAAATCTTTCTAGTAGAACTCTTTAAACTAATCTCATCATTTAAAATGACTAATCCTATTCCTTTTTTGATTTTTTTTGAGGAAAGGTATTAGAATTAGTTGATAGGGGCATATTGGCCTTTTCTTGGTTGTTAGTTTCTCTCTTGTAACAATTTTACTTGTCTGGGGGCATTGTTGTAATTTCATTTGTTAATGAATAGTAATAAATACTCGGTTGACAGTAAAGGGAGTAGTTTAGTTCGAGTTCTCTTTTCTGTTCTCCCTTTTCTTCTTCCTCCTTGCTTCCTACCTTTTCTTCTACTGTTCTCCTTTCTTCTTCCTCTCTTTTTTCTTTTATTTCCCATTTCACTTTTTCAGGTTAGCACAAAAGGTAACTATTCATTTCAGAAACAATAAAGGGGGGATGCGCATGAGAGGATATACAGGTCGGTACATTCAAAAAACCAAGAAAAAGAGAGGAAACCAAAAATACCCTCCAAAATTACAAAGGCAACGAATTCCCACTATACAAAATAGTCCTATCCTCCCCAAAATTACAATGACTAACCCTATTCTTGAGGCATTAGCAAACTAGCAGATGCCCTGGTAGTTGATGGAATAAGAGTGATGTAGGATGTAGTAGGGGTTCTATGAATTTAAGTTTTGGTGGCAGGCTTTATGGGGGAGGAGGGGCTTTAAGTGATTAAAGACGAAGAAAATGGATGGATAAGCAAGTAATTGGAGGAACGGGCTTTAAGGATAAATACTGGCAACAACCAGAGTTCACTGTATCAAACTTTATTTCCTCAAATGCGATATTCCTTTAGTTGCAATTGCAATTACTCTTTTTATAGACTCAATTTATAAACTCGGATGTCCCTTTTACAGACTCGAATTTGGACTAGGAAACTAACCCAGATCAAATTCTAATTGCTTTAAAACTATCACAATCCATAGGTAACCCACCAGGACACTTAAGTAAGGACTCTAACTCCTAAACAACTCTAATAGCACTTTCCTAATCCTACTAAAACTAATGTAATGTAAAGGCACCAAAAATTATTGAAAAATAGTAAGTCGTGACTTCACTATAAATAGCAAGCATGAAAGTTACCATGAATAGTAATTTTGAAATAATCACAAATTTCTAAAAAACAGAATCCTATTCTTAAGTTCCTTGCAACTAGAAAATAAATTAAAAAACTCAAACAATACAAATATTCCATCACGTAAAAATTTTGAATTGGTGTAGGAATGGAAAGTCAATTATTCATCTTTAGAAGTAGTTCATCATTATATGTAAGAATATAGGTTTTTTGATGCTTTATAGGTGGTAGGTGGTAGTTATTTCTCAGCACCCTGTTTGAGTCCCTCAACAGTTGGCATTCATCTTGAATTTTTTGGCATTTATTGTTGAGATATGTGAAATCCTGTAATAAGGGCATCTTTGGTATTTTACAATAAGTGGGACATGTATGGTTTTTATGTTTGTCAGGGGTATAAATGCAATTTAAATTTTTATACAATCGGCTCTCAACTCTCTCTCTCTCTCTCTCTCCCCCCCCCTCTATAGTCTCACTAGATTGTGCTTCAAATTCCTCTAATGATTATAAGACGTCATTTTAATTCGTCTTTGGGTTTTAGTTTGATAGGAAACTGATGTAGGGGAAATGCCCTGCCATCCTAGTAGGATGAATGTGGTGGGAAGAAGAGAGAAATAAGGATCTGATGACACCAGAATCATGCAAACTGCATAAGTTTCAACTTCATGTTGATGAATATGCTGAAAGAAAAATGATGTGGTTGCACCTTCAATTTTTCAAAATTCTTAAATGTCTGTAATAAGACTCTTAAAACTAATTTCACCCTTGAAAATGACCAACCCTTTTCTTGAGGCAGTAACAATTTAGAAAACAAATGTGAAAAGAATTACTATAATCCAAAACAGACATTTATAAATATGGCATTGAATGAGGAATTGGTAGGAAACTCCTTTTTTTTTTTTTCTCGGGTTTTTTCCTACTTCCATGCTTGCACTACAAATGGGGAGCTCCAACAATGAAGATTATCAGAAGTACTGAATGTGCCTGCAAAATATAACTTATACACGACCAAAATCGTAATACTGAACTAACTAGAAGAGGTAGCATTTGACATTTTGTACTGGAACATAATTTCCAATTTGGATCCAACTTGTAGAACATAATTTGAAACATATCCTGTATATTGAGTTAACCTATCAAGTTGTTGCTTCTCTTAGAAATTATTAAACACTCTTCATCATTTCACTCCATTCTGTTGTTCTTCTAAATTTGATATATATCGGTGTGGTTTTTCTGTGCAGCATATGAATGTGGAAACCAAGGCATTTGAGGCGATTACAAATAAAGATGATAGCACGTTCTTCCAAGGAGAGATTTGTGGTCCAATTGCAGCAACAATGGATGAAGCTATGTTCTTATTAGTCACATCTAAGTGGCGTTATGCTTTTGATGCCTTAAAAGAGACCAACGATTACAAGTTTCTGTCTATTTCAGGAGCTCTCATGAAAAATATGGTGAATTTTATGCTAACCAATTATCTCAATATTTTGATACTGTTGCATCAATTTTATTTATACTGGACAAATTTATGTTCGGCCTGCTCCCCTTCTTGTTTCATGTGTAACAATGTCACTTTCTTTTTCAAAAGACATGCTTTTTCTTTGTATTTGCTTAGATATCAGATGGGCATGAATGAGTTGATTCAGTGTTTCAATAGAATGATGTACATGTGATGAAAGACATCTCAGCAATGGATTAAACTAATGCCATATTGCTCAAGACTAGGAAGATTTACAACACTGTTAGTTTAGGTTTTTTTAGGGTGTAAATATTCAATTACTGCAGTAAGTATAAGAGAATGTAGAAGAAAAACCCATGTACAAGGAGCTATGCAATGGGATTGAAATAAACTGTTTATCTCCTACCTATCCATTATGCATACACAGGGAATTACAGGCAAAACTTTCAGGATAAGGCATTTCCCTGAAATCTTTAGACCTATAGCCAAGAGTATGTTGTACCAATTCCTTCATGGCATCCATGGTGGAGTGGATGGATGATTTTCAAGGACATAGGCATTTCTTTTATTCCAAATGAGCCAGAAAATTACCAAAGGGAAGATTGCCCACGGCATCTTGCCCCTTTTGCTAAACTCGTCAAGATGCCAACATAAGACACTAACACATCCTCCTAAATAGAAAAGTGAAGCACTGCTGAACTCTGAACAAATAAAAAAAGTAAGGTCAGATAACCAATTAGAAAATTAAGTTGAATAGTATATTGTGACTATTCATCCCATGAAAGGGTTCAAATAAGGGGCAAACATGGCTACACTAATTGTTTCTTTTTGGAAGGAAATGGTGTTTTACAGGCTGGGGATTATCTAAGAGGGGTTAACTGAGGGTTGTAGAGGCTGTATAGGAAACAACTGGAATAAGAGTTGGATGGATAGAGTTTAATGTTCATGTAAAATTAAAATGACAGATAAAGAAGAAAATATAGAGATGCTTAGAAAAGAAAATGGAGCATGATATACCACTAGAAGCAATACCAATATTTATTTTATTATTTAGTTATTTTTGTTCAGTACCCATTAAGTAAACTTATTGATCTTATAAGAGATAAGATGCAAGAAGTACAAAATAGGCGAAGCTGAGACCAACTTGCTACCCCAACAACTATCATGCCTAGAAAGGAATGTATAAGGCCTACCTCCACTCCCACCCCACCCTAAGTGCAGCCCTCAATACAACTCTTCTCTATTAACTTATTGGCAGATATTTGTATCCATCTATACAAGGTATTCATGGTCAATGCCAACAACTTACTTCCTTAATGACATGTAGATATACCCAAGGTGCAGATTTTTCTTCTTTCATCTATCCGATTACAACTGGACAATAATTCAGCCCAGTTTTAGTTTTTCTGGCCAACACAGGTTAATTTAAAGGCATTTTCATCAACTGAATAATTAAATAAATCTGACCTTGAAAGATACACTGTGGTTGATTGAGGGATGCCTGAGAGTGTAGTCAATGTCATAACATTGTTGATCTTTAAACTGTTAAGGTTTCTGCTCTGCCTACTCTATTTTATGATTATATTGCATACTAGGATGTCAAAGCCAGTGTTTTGTGTGTGTGTCTTTTTATCTTTCATGTGCTGATCTAAGTAACTGAATCATGATATTGAACATATTCTGAAAACAATTTATTTAATATTTTTCATATGCATTTTGATGTTTGGGTTGTGATGGTATTGCTTGTTATTTCATGATCTTTTTCCTAATCCTACTTGTCTTTGTCTCATGCAGATTTGCATGTTAGGTTTGGTGCTTAAGTTATTGCCAGAAGACTCTAAGGAATCTCGAACTGCTCGCATCCTTCTTTATAAAATATTTTATGATCAGACAGACCAGGGAATGACTCCTTTCCTAATAAACCTGATTAAATCTTTTGACACTCATAAACAACCTAAAGGGTAAGTCTGCGTTTTTTTTTGAAACTCCTTTATTTCTTCAGTATTAAATCATCAGGTTCACTGTGTGACAATGTTATAAAAGTCCAAGGGTCATTTTTTAATGTTTGTCCAGGGTATCCGGGTTTTGGGAGGGATGGACTGGTTATGGACACAACTCTGACGTTTTTTACAAGGTTGCCATTATCAGATTTGAATCTGCATCTTCACACTTATCAGACCTAGGATTTGCCATTGCACCAAGCAAAATGACCCATAATTATTTTAGAAGAAAACTTGTGTCAAATTGTGGAATAAACCTATTTAAGAAAAGAAAGCTTTGCCCCTTCAGTTATCAATGTCATTTGCTGATCTTTAAACTGTTAGGTTTCTGCTCTGCGTATTAGATTACATATTGCATGCTAGCGTGTCAATGTCAATGTGTCTTTTTATTTTTCATATGCTGATCTACTTGATAATTATAATACATAGATATTTGGAAACTATTTCATTCTTCCTTGACATGGCAGGCCTTGAATGGGTGCCTCGGGTCAGATAGTCTTTCTTTGCCCATGGAAGTCACTTGGGCTTGGTTCAAGAGGATGGTTGTATTGGAAGATGCCAGATCTGCTACTCACACCTACCCACAAGATGCTACAGCTGTACATCTCACACTCATATAATGTCATTGATGGGGTTGTACATGAGATGTACAGATATAGCATCTTTGTGGGTAGCAGATACAGACAAGCAATTATTCAAGCTGTCATCTTGGGGTGACCAGTGGACATCTTTTATGGGGAGGAAGCCTCTTCTGAAGCATTGGATAGTCACTTCCCTTCCCTTCTTTCATTAATTGGCATTGATTCCTAAGGAATTCAAAGGTGTGTGATTCAATGGTCTGGAGGAACCTTTTGGAGGTTTTTTCGGACTTTCCCTGGGCATAATCCTCATAAATCTATCTCCTGTGTTTTATGGGGAAGGCATGTCTCACAGTTTGAGTAAAACAAGGTAAAATTTCCCTATTTTTCTAGGGAAGATAAAAACCTATTGGTGTAAAAAGATTCCAGTTGTGAAATTTCTCATGATGTTTTGAAAACTTTATCCAGAGCAGTGTTTTAAAAGGCGTGGGAGGTGTACGCTTGGAGGCGCACCTCCAGGCGAGGTGCTCCCAAAATGCCCTGAGGCGTATGCCAGAGGCGCTAATACCTCTGAGGCGTACACCTCTTGCGCTTTTTTCATGAGGCGTGCTAGAGGCGTACGCCTCTTGCGCCTCATCATGCACACCTGATATGAAAATACAGGAAAAAAAATAAAAAAGAAAAAAAGGAAAGGAAAGGAAAAGAAAAGAAAGGGAAAGAAAAGGAAAGGAAAGAGAAGAAAAAAAGACAAAAGGAAAGAAAAGAAAAGGAAAGGGAAGGGAAGAAAAGATAAGGGGAAAGAAAATGGTTTGCCCCCTTCGCTCGCTTGCCTTCGCTTCGACAAGACCCCCCCCCCCTTTGAACTACTGTTATGCATCTTTATTCTTCTTAATATAAAAGATTTTTATTAAAAATAAAGAAAAAATGAAGTCCCCCTTCCTCTTCATCCCCCTCCTCTTAAGAAGGCTTATGCCTCCATGTGTTCGGGAGGCTTATGCCTCTTGCGTTCTGAATAACGCCTCTAGGTAGTCGAACGCCTCGCATCACACCTCCGCGTTTTAAAACATTCCAGAGATTCCAACTTTGGTGAAATATTGGGGAAAATTCTCCATTTTTCCAAATTCAGTTGAGAGTTATTATGAGGTATTCTAAACACTCTCAACTACATTTCTGTAGAAAAAATGGATTTGTTGATTCTAGGTGTTGAATTGACAACTTGATTGAGATTTTATTTTGAAGGGCCATTCTTAATTGAGTAACTTAAAAATAAAAAGTTAAATAAGCATTGCAGTCTTTAATCCTTCCAATATGGTGAGAGCATTGTCCCAAAATACTATTGTAACATTTTCCTAATATGATAAGTGTGATATTTACACTATGTATACTCTATGATGTCGGATAAACTTAGCTTGGATGGTAATTAATTAATTTTTACTATCAGTTCCTATTAAGTCCTTTTAGTTTTTTTTCTTACTTCTTATCATACATGGTTAATTAATTTTCCTAATATGATAAGTGTGATATTTACACTATGTATACTCTATGATGTCGGATAAACTTACCTTGGATGGTAATTAATTAATTTTTACTATCAGTTCCTATCAAGTCCTTTTAGTTTTTTTTTCTTACTTCTTATCATACATGGTTATTTCTTATAGGTTTTAGAGTCTCAAGTGGTTATTGTATTTCTTTCAACATTCCTGAACTTGTATAGATAAATTCCGAGTTTTCTTAATACATCCCCAATTTTCCTAAATTCCCAAAATTTTTAAATTTGTTGCTGTGTTATTAAAGCGTTGCTAGTTATCAACTAGTGAGGCCATACTGACTGCATCACTAACACAAACCAGTCAGACATTACCCATGATGGGCAACTAAACATTAACTAAATTAATTGGGCCAACTAATGACTAATTGATCTATTCAAACTAGTCAACCACAAAGTTACTTTAAAGTTTTATTTGCTTGTTTTTTTATCTCTTTATTGTTTAAAATAATATCACATATACCTTTATTTTGTTATATGCACTTTAAATATTTGTCATGGCACATGGTTGCATGCTGGTATATAAGATAGAAACAAGGCATATGGTAAGATAACGACCGAAAGGAGTCATAGTTATTCCAATAATCTATGTACTGGAATAGAATTGCCACAAAAAAGAGGATCACACCAAATAGCTAAAAAATTGCAGTGTTTCTTCAAAAAGAAAATAGTGTCACTCCCTTATCTCAACTTTTATGGTCTTCCTTTTATTGTTTGCAAAGGCAAGGTTATAAAGTATAAACTAGATATTCTATATCATTCTCTCATTGCATAATTGTAGTTTGTACCAACTTACATATGATATTTCATCAATATTTTAAATTTAGAACAAATATATATATTTTTTGTGGCCAACTAGTTAGTGCCTAGTCACCCATCGCCTAGGGAGGCAAAAACAAGTCATCACCTCACTGCATTGACAATAGTGATTTGTTGTTAAAATTTGCAAAAATTGTCCAAGTTCACATGGTGAAATAAACATAAAAAGTCAAAATTTCCAACTGGGGGAGGGGAAGAGGTGTTGCATTTTGATGTTTGATCTCTTGGTAATTTTGAGACCATTGGAATTGGCTGAGTTTTCACTAAGTGGGGTTATGGCATAATATGGGTCTACAGTGGCCCCAAAACAGAGTAGGGATGCTGGTTTCTCTAATGTTGCATTGCATCCTTCTTCCTTACCTATCCAAAATATTCAACTAGTGTTATTTAGATGGAGCAAAAGGATTAGTTAAGAACCTTGGATGATTGTGCGTTACTTGTACGAGATCAGAGAGAACTTGTATTGCATGCTAGTGTAAATAAGATGGATTCCTAAAGAGATGAACACTGTTGTGGCCTTGTGGGGCGTAGGAAGCCCCTTTTTGTAGGGAAACACGTTTGTCATATATAAACGGGGGCTGGGTTGCATTCCACGCTTTTTGTGCATTGTTGTGTATCCTCTCATGCATATATCTTTTCTCTCTTTAATACTACCAGTTGAAGTTAGCTTAATAAAATGGATGAAGCTATGTTTCACAGACAGCCTATTTATGTGTACACTTAGTTGCTGATTTTGGTATGCCATTTTCAATTTTTGATAGATGGGACACATCTCCAATGAAAACACAAAAGATGTTCTTTATATATACATGTATATTAGCTGCTTAAATGCATAACCTTTTCTCCTTTGTCAGTGATCTTGCAGATCTAGTCGAAATGATATATTTAGTTGTGCAGATTATGGAGAAACTTCAAGCACGTGGCACATTAAGGGTATGTTTTTTTTGTTTATGATATATTATTTTCTTTCAACTTATTATATACTCAATCATCCCTAATTTTCTTTGGAATGGACATGTATTAACTATTAATAGAAAACATAAGCCTTAATGCTGCTCACATACCCATTGCATGGAATAAAGATGTGAGCATAAATCAATTATCTCTGTCAGGGTACCTTGGAGTACAAAATGAGTCAGACCTTTACCTCTTCTTTAAGGCTTAAATGCCTTCTATAGCTTTGAGCTAGGTACTTATTACAGAGAGGATTTCACTCATATTTGGTAAAGACCTAATGAGAAAAGTGATGCGGAGATATTTCTTTTCTCATAATATCTAATGTTGTAAAAGACATTCTTTTTTCTTAATATTTTGGTCTTTTAAGCACATTTTGTTATCTCAATTAAGGCAGTTTAGTTTATTTTGGATGGGTTACCTAAAAGTGATCTTCTAAACCCATCTTGTTTAATATTGTTAGTTTTTAATATTTCCTTTTGTAATTTGGGATTGCTATTACACAGTTTGAAAGTTTTATTGTTCTTATTCAAATATCCAAGTAGTGAAAATTAATGAAAAAGTTGAAAACGATATTGAATTCAAGCAGCAAATTACCCTAAGTATTTGGGGTTCAGCTGCATAAGTTCTGCTTTGCTATTTTACTCTGTTAAGATAGTATTATCCCTCTCAGATTTGTTTTCTCCATATCATTAGTGAAAATGGTGTTGCAATTATGATTCATGGATGGGAAGTATCCCAAACTAACCACTTCTGGTACTTTGGATCAATTGTCCATAACGAGGGAGAAATTAGTGAAGATGTTACACTTAGAATTACAGCAGGGTGGTTGAAGTGGAGAGGTGCATCCGGTATGCTGTTTGATTGGCATGTTATCAATGAGACTTTCTATAAGGCAGTCATATGACTAATATTGCTATGAGATAAAGTGTTGGGCAATCAAGAAACATTGTCAGAAAGTGAGTGTAGCTAAGACGAGGATGTTGAGATGGATGAGTAGTGAGATTAGAAAGGATAATATAAAAAATTAGCACATTAGAGATGACCTAGTAGTAGCTTCAATTATTGACGAGGTAAAAAAAGTTGATTGAGATGGTTTGTTCATGTTCATAGATGACCAATGATTGAACCAGTGAGGAGTTACTTGATGCAATTAGAAGGCTCTAAGAGAGCAAGGGGAAGACTAAAGAAATCATGGTCTTAAGTGATACAAAATGGTCTAAAAACATAAAATTTGACAGAAAATGGCTCTCGATGATGGAGCACTATGATGGAACAAGATTCTTGTAGCTGACCCAAATAGGTGGGATTAAGGTTGAGGTTGAGTTTAGTTATTATTATTATTGTTGTTGTTTTGATAATTACACCTACAGTAATTCAGATAATGCAAGAAAAGTAGAAAAGAGAGAAGGAAAAAGGAGAAAAGAAGTTTCAGCAATAGGTTGTGGAAGAATAAAAGAAGGGAAGAGAGAAAATAAGAATATGAACCTCTCTCTCTAACCCCCTTTCATCACTTTTATTAATAATTCTAAGTCTGAGTACAATTACTTGGATGCCCTTAATGGGGCAGCCAGCACTAAAGAGATAATTAAAGAAAATAAAAGAAGGCCCATAACTAAGAAACATAGCTTTTAAACACTACTAAAAAGAAATAAAGAACACTAGGGCCCATTTGGCCCATTCTCACTACATTGTTGGTCTCCCTATCACTTTCTATTACCCTTAATGTGCATCAGATTAATCCTTCTGACTGGTGTAGCAAAACTGGTGATTTCGTGAATTAAACTGTTTGACAGTTTGACTGTCTAGTTCAATTCAGTTTCCAAGGTTCCCACTGAATGCATTGCTCATAACATATGTGCCAACTATGCATTTACAGTGATGTTATGTATGATTGTAGGTAAAATGAAGGAAATGATGTTCAATAGGGAAACATCATATTCCTAATTTTTCTAATGTTTGGTTGTAACTTGGGAAAAAAACTTAAATGGATGAGAGACATGGCGTTTGCACTTTGCAAGTCAAGAGGGATCTTCATTTTCCATGATAGCTGCTTATTAAGTCAGAAAATAAATTTCAATGCTCTGTGTGTATATAATTTATTGGCTACAACTGTTTCATATCTCTGTTTCAAGGTGTTGGAAAAGTTTTCTTCTACCATATTAATCTGATCTCTTTTGCTCTTTTAAATGATCTTCTTAGGTTTCTAGAAAATCAAGAAGGGGAAGAAAGAAGAAATTACTAGGGGATGGCAAAGCAGCTGAAGAGGAACTATTGGGAGATGATAATAATAGTGTACGGAAAGAGATAAATTCTACTTGTGAACCATCTCTGGACTCAGGCATGCCCCTAAAAACAAGTGTAACCAACTCAAGTGTTGATGGAAAAGAAGAAAATATTTTGGACAGTTATTTGGTTGATGAGCCTGAAATACCCCCATTGGACACAGAGATTCTTGGGGAAGATTTGGCACAGCCTGTTAACAAAAAATCTAGTCATACAGCCAATGATCTAGCATATGCAACAGAGAATTCATCTGATGATGATCAGACAGTTGCTACGGATGAAGTTGATTTTAAAATATCTAGTTTGGTCACTACTTTTACAAACAACACCATTATCCAAAACTTGTGCTGGTTGTTGAAGTTTTACAGAAGCAATTCCACTACTACAAATCACCATATCCTATACATGCTGCGGAGGATTTCTGATGATCTTGAACTTTCTCCTATGCTTTATCAGGTTCCAATTCAAAACAAATTTGCCATTCTAATACTGAAAATGAAACTTGAAACATGTCCATGTCTCATTATGTATATCTGTGCTTGCCTAACTTGCAGTTATCACTCCTCACCATCTTCTATGATATCCTTGCCGAGCAGAAGTCTTCTCCATGCAAGGATTATGCAAATATAGTTTCCTTTCTCACTGATCTGGTGAGGAAAATGCTAAAGAAAATGAAAACCCAGCCACTTCTGTTTGTGGAAATACTGTTCTGGAAGACACGCAAAGAATGTCACTACATAAATTCTGAGTCTTTATTACATGAGCTTCGCAACTTGAAAAGGGAAAGTAAAAAATGGGGAAATGCTTCATCTGAGAATGAAGGACAAATCAGTTCATTGCAAAGCAACAGAGAGATGGGCAGAAGAAGCATAGCAGATTCACTTGGTGAAGATGAAGCTGATATTGTTTTTTCCCACGATCTCAGTTATCAAAAGTAAGACTTCTCTGCAAAATTTGAACTTTCTTTCCATCAATAAAGAAAACTTAAACTTTCTTTTCGGCACCAGTCTCATATACGAATTTTTATCAGTATTTAAATAAGTGCTTTCTGGGATGAGAGTTCCATAGTTTGCCTCTGCAATTCAGTTTTTAATTTTACTTCCATATTATAATTTGAAGAAACAATGCTTGGAGCATAAAATTACAGTGTGTTCCAAGATTCTAGGATGTGTCTTAAATTTCTTGCCAATAGGATTCACACAGATGTTGATGTTGATTAGTTCACGATATGTATGGACAGGGAAGAAAATCCAGATGAAATGAAGCTTAAGAATGATGCTGAGATCAACGGAGAGGAAAATAATGACATGAATGATGCTTACAGGTATAGTTATCAGACATTTCCCCCCTTGTTTTAATTCTTTGGACAATAAATTTCCTTGTTCACTCTGTTTGGCTTTTGTAGTGAAGGGCATGCCTTGGAAGACCATTCTCCAAGAGGTCCCCAAAGAAAGAAGAGACTTGTTTTTGATGAAGAGCTGGAAACTGATATTAAGAATCTTTATGAGAAGTATGCTTACTTTGAGAAAATTTTCTTTTCTCTTTTAAATATTTAGGTTGAATTTTTAAGGTTATTCCGAATGATGCTTATTAATCAAGGAGCTAAAGAGGACAGCAAGCTGTGTTAATCACAATGGACTCTTTTTTTCTTTTAGCTTATGTCTCAAAATTGACTTATGCTTATGAAATTTGACATTATTGCTTCATATAGTTTTGTCTAGCATTTCATGCAATAATTTGTACTCCTCCCACCCCTCCTCCGGTTCTTTTCTAACATATTTATTTGACTGTTCCAGATACAAAGATAATCGGCACTGCAGTCGTCTTATTGCTGAAGCTCTTGAGCATAGTCGAAAAGTATCCCCAGTTCAAGTTTCCAATAAGCTTAAACAGCTAGGACTCAAGACATCCAAGAAAAGAAATCTTTGCACTGGTAGGGATGAGCATGTGATGCTGGAAGGAAAGGAATTGGGGAATGACGATACTCACCTTCCTTTGAATGGATTGGAGGAGAGCTCTTTCCGTGGGAGGTCTTCGTGAGTATTGCACCAATATCTATGATTTTAGACCATATAATTTGCTGTTTTAAAAAAGGTTATTATCTTCTTTAGGGCAAGGGCTTATGATGTATAATTTCAAGGTGTTGTTTTAATAATAGGAGTGCAAATCAGGGTACATTTAGGATTGGAGACCAAGAGATAACTCAATGTGATATTTTCCATACCTTGGTTTGATAATACATGACAAGGGAGAGATTGAGGATTGTTAAAGTGAGCCGAATAGGGGTAGTTTAGTCATCTTATGTTTGTTAAGTGATTTGCTTATGTGGCAGTTTTATTAGAGACACTCTACCCACACTTAAGTAAGGGCAGTTGTCTTTGTAAATGTCATTAGAATCTAAATGACTATTAAGGGGGTCGACTGAATGGAATAACCATCAGATTTCGACAGACCCTTCTTTTCCTTCTTCTTCTCTTCTTCTTCCTCTTCTTCTTTCTTCTCTTCTTGGTTTGGGTTACTGTAGCCATTCGAAACATGGTATCAGAGCCATGTTCCAGACCTACTTCAGTTCGTAAAGCATCTCAGCAGTGTTCATGACCCTTCTTTCGTTTCTGGTCAGTCAATGGAGAGAACTGGTTCGCCCTAGGTCTGAAACGTCACAACTCGTCTCTCTCTGCTGCACATAATCTTCTTCATCAAGAAAAGTGATTTCAGCAGTGAATGGTTGGTTGAGACTCTCAAAGGAAGGTCGGTTATCTCTTCTTCTTGTGTTGCTGGTATTTCTGGGTAGAAACCCTTCAAGAATCTGTTA